CTTGTTGCGCCTATCTATTGGTCTCGTGCCAGCCGCTGAAAACCCTCAAGGTTTCGCGTTTAGGCTTTCGTGCTTTCTCCGCCACTGGGTCGGCGGACTGAGCCGGAGGCTCTTAAGTTAAGGAATTAAGTAAGTTACCATAATATGCGTAAAATGAAATAACAGTGTTTCCTTATTACGGTAACTCAACTTCTGTAGCAGAAACCCATAATGTGCGCGGACTCTTCTAAACCCTAAACCTTGAACTCTAAACCCTAAACCCTAAACTCTAAACCCTAAACGAGCAGCATAATGGTCACTGTGGCTGTGCTCTGGCTTGTCAGGTTCACTGACAGGAAGAAGGACAGACCGAAGGCCATGTAACACCTGGAGCTTTCCCGAAATTAGGGTTACCTTTTTGGGGGTCCCCATATATTGGGTTTAGGGCTTAGGGTGGGTTACCTTGGGTACTGCCCCCTCCCAGTAACAGTCTATATTAGGGCTCCTACTAAGGGCTATATATAAACATATTATAGTGATTATCCAACTGTTACTGAGGCGGGGCAGTACCCAAGGGTTACCTTTTTGGGGGTCCCCGGGGTGCCCCTATTTTGGGAATCTACCACGTCTTCGTGAAGGGGTGCCTTACGAGGATCAATGATAAGTTGAGGGAGAGCAATGGTCAAGGCAAGGGTATTCTGGCAATTCTGCATACTTTAGACACCTGCTGTAATTATTTACACGAATCAACCACCATGTGGGTTACGGCCGGTTGGGCCACGTTAATTCGCACAGGTTGTTATGCCAGTTGAAATGACATCACCTGGTCCTGGATGTGCTGCTGAAAGCAGTAGGTCCCTCCCGAAAGAAACAACTCTGTAGGTATCCCGCCCATCCAGGGCGCCCATCTCCAAGGAAACCCAAGAAGGCTTATGTAGTACCTGAATTTCCGTGAGATCCTTCATGTAACTATAGCATAGTACGAAGCCCTATCTACATTATTCAGGCCCATACGGTCGCTCACAATTCAAGGGGAACAGAGCCTGTCTGAAAACGCCCAAATTCTTCTTGGCAAGTCCCTCTCTCCCTCCTGCCGCGGGATCGCTGGAAACTAAGCATTAGGGCTTCCAATAAAAGTAGGGCCCTCACACCCCTGCAACGAGCATCATAATCTTGCAGGATATAGAAGGATTTTCGGAAGTAAGCATAAGCAGGATGTACGAACCGTATCAGACGCTCGCATGACATGTAAAGTGGTAATAAGAGGCTATAGATGACTGTGTGGCTACAGTTTGGGGGCTTTACCTACCTAGTATAGGAATTCTAGATTTTAGGAAGCCCTAATCCTTGTAAACTCTTATATGCTCCCCCCAGTTTCCATTTCATGTTCCATGTTCTCTTCCTTTTGATTTTCCATTGTTGGGGTAATATCCCTAAACCCTAAACCCGAACTAAGTAAGCAAATCGAGACCGAGAAGCTGGGCTACCGCCAGGCGAAGCAGTGTCCAGGGGCTCGCAACCACTTTTGAGAAAGGTCCATAGATGCCTGATGGTTTAGGGTTTAGCCTGATGGTTTAGGGTTTAGGGTTTAGGGCTTAGAACTATTTGAGCCATAACCTAAATGCCCTAAAGGGAGTTATACAAGGGATTGTAGGGAACTACTGGAGGGGTTTTTAAGTGGGACACTAGGAGTTTAGAACATGGCTCTGGCTAAACCCGTTAAGCGCCGCACATCAATCTGTCAGTATATCTTCCAACTTCTTTTTTTTTTTTTGCGGGACCTTTTCTCCAATTTCCAACTGGTTTAGGGTTCAGGCTTTAAGGCGGGCTTGCGAAAGCTAAGGGTTCATCTCACATCCGCAAAAGAGTTTCAGCCCTATCATGGGGCCCCAGAAAAGAACCTCTCAGTGTTGGAACCCCCATACATACGCATCATTAGACTCTAGACTCAAGCAGCAGGGCTGTCCGATACTCCTTTTCGAGGCTTGTGGGCCTTCTTAAAATTGGGAACCCTTCCGGACAATTGGCCCACACGTAGGTATATACATATACACATACATACGTATATACAACTATAGCTATGTATGTATGTATGGATGGATGGATGGATGGATGGATGGCTGTATGGATGTATGTATGTCTGTATGTCTGGGTGTCAAGAGACTTGACACTCTGGCGCGCTAAACCTCGCGGATCGTAAATTTCACGTAAACTGTTTTTGCCTCCAATCTCAACTCTGAACCCAAAATCGTGCATCAACGAGCCCTTAGACTCTAAACCTTCAACCCCCAAAACCAACCTCAACCCTAAACTCCAAATCATGAATCAACGAGCCCTCAAACTCTACAGCTTCAACCCCTTCAAACCATCAACCTTCCCACTCCAATCTGCAGGCCGCAGTTGCCAGTCCAAAGTATTGCAAAAATCAGCAGCTCCGCAAAATGGCACAGGTCCTTTTACTTTATATTCTGCTCCCATATTCCCTACTAACCCAAGTTAGACTGGGTTGCTGTTAAGGAACTTAAACGAAGTTGCCGTAATAAGGAAACCTTTTTATGTTTACTATCTAGACATATTTTAGCAACTTATTTCACGTTCCTCAACAGCAACAACCCTAAACCCTAAACTTTAAACCCTGAACCGCAAACCCCAGTAAATTGACTTAACCATGCTTGGTCAGCGTTACGGACGTAGGGACGCGAATTCAGGCTTCAGGGCTTGGGGCTTCGACGCACGCATGGCCGAAGCAACATGTAAAATTTTCCGGAGACATGAGTCCTAAAGCAGCATGGTTGGGGTTTAGGGTCCAATGGGTTTAGGGTTTATGGGCTTAGGGTTTTAAGGCTTCATTGGGATTTGGGAGGGAAAAACCTCACTAGCGTTTGGGAAGACGGTAGTGGGTTATTGGGGGAGTCTATAGGAATTGCTATAGAGATTCCTTCCACTGGTCCCGCCTAAGCAGTCAGATTTGCGCATGTGAAGGTTTGTCAGATTGGGATTTTGATTAAGGTTTCTTCGGTGCCTTTCGGGACTTTCAAGAAAGATAGATGGAAGGGATCATGAAGTGGTCCTCTGTGCCACTGCTAGATAAGCAAGCAGTTTGGCTGGATTTTGGTGCCACACTTATAAATTTCTTTGGGGCGCAGCAATAGAGGCCTAAATGTTCAAACTTCCCATGTTCTTCGTGGTTTGCAGCAGGGTTCTCTGGTCCCCTGAACCCTAGACCCTAAACCTTAAGTTCTGAGAAGGTCGCCAAGGAAGGTTTGGGGAATCTTGGGGTACATCCAGGCTGTAACTGTCCTGAAACTGAAACTAAAGGTAGCTGTTGATAGGTGATTTAGAGGCAGATGTTGGTTTCTAGGTTCCCTAATAACCCCTTTATAGTAAAGGTACCCTTTTTCCTGCTGGTCAGCTTTAACAAGGAGATCTCAACATAAAAACGAGAAAAGAAAGGGTACTAGCGGGGTACCTAGTTTTACAAAAGCCAAGACCACCCAAACCCTAAACCCTAAACCCTAAACCCCAAGGAGGTTTTGAGACACTGCGTCACCTCTCACCCTTCACAAGAAGGATGTCCTTCGCGAGGTACTGCGATAAAGCGGGGATCCCCGCAGTATCCTCCCGCTTTCCTGGGCTGTGCTTGATGAAGGTATAGGATTGGGGATTTTAAGGTCTAGGGGTTAGGGTTCGGGGTTTAGGGTTTAGGATTCAGGTTTGGGGGACCTACCCCAATTACTGAGAATCCCATGGAAAAGATGATGGAAAAATAAAGAGGAAACTAGGGTAGTTTTTCCTTGGCGGGCGCAGTAAGGTTATACCCGTCCCATGGAAGACTATAACCAAATGTAATCATACTCTATATTGGGAACACACGGTCCCCCCCCAAAAATAGTTCTCTAGGGTTAGGGCTTAGGCTTTCAGCGCTGACCCGCCAGAAGACCACGAAGCGCGGAGGGCTAATTACATGTGGGGATGTGAACGTAAGGGGGCAATGGCAACGTTTTCTTTTGGCAAACTACATCGGACACCATAAACCCTAAACTGATGAACTGAATGTAGACCCATGATTACTAAACACCCTCCCCTTAATAGGGATTACAATAGGGATCCTGGTATAAAGGCCCGTAACGGGAGGGGGTTTATTGATCACGGGTCTACTGTGGGGTGTGTTCCTCGGTGTTTTGCCTCTACAGTTCCATCCCAGCTCCATGTACAGCTTGGTGGAGGACAGGTCCTGGCCTTCAAACTGTTGGCTTCCTAATGTAGATTCCATTTAATTTTCCATTATCCCCATAAAGCCCCAATATACTATAGTAGTTTCCATCTTATTTTCCATTATCCTACTATACCCCAAAAAGAAATACCTTCAGGGTGCAAGTAGTGGTTGCTCAGGGCCCCTCCAGGAACCCACGGCACTAGACACGAAAAGCTTTAACTGCAACGCAACGTCTCTCGAGTCGGTCAGAGCTGAACACATTCATGCTGTGGATGCATACTGGCAGCATCAGCATGTTCTGCGCGATTCCTCAGCTTCTCGCAAGAAAAGGTTTCTCAATTGGGTAATGGGGCTTCCTTCTTTTGGTTGTCAAGCTGTTTCGAAAAGACTCTCAAGACATTATGGGTAGCATTCAGTCGTTCAGGAATTTCGTCCAAGCAAACACCAAGGAATGTGGATCACTGAGATAGACAGGCAGTATCAAACCCTTCGAATGTGAAGGCCTGCTTGGAGGGCTTGGGTATGAAAAGCCAAAAACTAACCCTGAACCCTAAACCTCCAAAACCCCCCGGCCTGAAGCTTAACATCGCAAACCTGAACACCCTCCCGTCACAACCTTACCATGTATTCCTAGTTTTACAACACGGACAAGTGCATGCCCACAGTACCCCCGGGCTAGATTTTTTGAGCACGTAGCAGTAGGGATAGGAATATTTAGTATACTTGTAATATACTTGCGATGCTATACCTGCAACTATTGCTATTGCTGAACTCACAAGTGGTAGTATTACCAATCCTACTATCACTAGCACCATGACTATGACGATCATGATGACTGTTCGTATTGCTATCTAATTTGTTTTTGCCATTACTAGCACGAGTTCCAGCATTATAGGTATGGGCATTACTTTTACCATGGTGGTTGCCAGTACTAAGTTCAAACTGTTACTCCCCTGAACCCTATCACTAAGAGCAAGCAGGATGCCCAACTTCACTAAGACCTGCTCGAAGTCCCCGTCATCACCCAGAAGCGCGCGGACGATGCAAAGGAACCTGCCCGCCGTTAAGTTGCAAGTGCTTAGCGGAGAAGGGGGGCATGAATAATGAGGGTTATTAAGGGGGATTATAGCGGAACTGTTCTAGGGACCAAAACTAGGTCCTACCTAGCTATCTTGGAGCTGGATACTTCCCACAGCATGTAGAAGTCATAGAATACGCTCAGGAGTATAACACAAGGGAGAATAAGTGAGACCTGCGAGAATGATTGGGGAATGTTGTAGGCTAGAAGCTTGGGGCTGTTGGGCTTAAGGTTTGGGATCTGCTTCTTGTCTAGCCTGGGCGCACAGGCCCAAGCACCAGATACTGAAAAACAAACATATTCGAAGCGATTAGTTTTACTGCTATTGTTTGCCAGGAAAAACCAATATCTGCGTCTACTTCACTTCGTGGCACTCCCCAAGCCGGCAGTAAGGCCATGTAGGACTTTGGGACCATAGTCTATGCAAGCCGTCGTTTTAGGTGAGGTCCGTCGTTCATTGCTGTGCTAGAACAGTTGCTGGAAGGTATTTTTCAGCAAATAACCAAATACATGGAGACGAGTCCAACCCAATCCAATCCTAAGCCCTCAGCCTTAAGAGGGCTTGAGTATAGTGTGCATATTCACTGCTCCCCCAGAACTGGCCCGTGTGCACTTCTCCAGTGAAGCACAAGTGTTTTGGATTACTCTGCCAACCTTCCTGGGTGCCCCTTCAATGACCTTAAATGAAACGCAGCTATCCCTAAATGCGCTCTAGTTGGGGGAACCCACTGGAGACTAGTATTGGGGGGCTAGATACGGCAATCCATAACATGTAGTCAAAGGTCTAGGCTCTAGGGTTTAGGGTTAGGGATTTAGGGTTTAGGGGTTTAAAGGTTGCAGCCAGATCAGGCTCTAAACCCCAAGCCCCAAATCCCAAGGCCCTGAGCCCTGAAGCCGAAATCCCAAACCCTAAACCCTAAACCCTAAATCCCAAGCTCTAAACACTAAACGCTAAATCCCAGGCCCCTAAATCCCTAAACCCTAAACCCCAAATCGCAAGCCCTAAACCCTAAACATCTGAAACCCAAGCCCTAAAGCCCCTAAGCCCCAGATCCGCCCAGTCGCAAGGCGACCAGACCCAAGTTGGAAACTCCTTGATGTTTAGGGGTTTAGGGTTTAGGGGTTTAGGGTTTAGAGGTTTTGGGTTCAGGGTTTAGGGCTTAGGGTTCAGGGTTTAGGGATCGGAGGAAGGGATAAGAACATGTAAAGTACTACTACTTAGTCTTCAGGGTTAAGGCTTAGGGCTCTGGGAAAGAAGCCGGAAACTACCATCTATAGGCACACATATCCATATGAGCAAAATCTAAGCTCCTTAAAGGGGGAGGTATATGGGGGACCTTTTAGGGGTTATTAAGGGGGATACTAGGAGTTTAGACTCAAGCTCGTATATCTGTGTGGGTAAGCGTGGTAAGTAGGGTAGAGAGCAAAGGATGCCGAAAGTACCCAGGGCTTAGGGTTTAGGGTTTACATAGCTATAACCCTCTGCTTCATTCCGTGAGCCTGAATCACAAATTCTGCAGTGTGCTTACGCTTTTCCATCCCCTTACCCTAAGGCCTAAACCCTCAGGCCCCACCCCTAAATCCTGCACCCCTGAATCCGAATCTCTCAGCCATGAACCCCAGACCCTACGTGCCGAACCCCAACCCCTAAACCCTACCAGGATGATATTTTTAATAAGTCTACCTACTGTCCCTCAGAACCCCTACTTTAAGCTCTATAACCCAAGCTACTAAGTAGACTTGCCACGTCAAGAGATCCTCCACGTAGACGGACTAAGTAGACCCCATACACCCTGAACCCTTAGCCCTAAGCCCTGAACCCCAAACCCTGAGCCCTTAAGGCCCTAAAGCCCTAGCCCTAAACTCTGAACCCTAAACCCTAAACCCTAAGCCCTAAACCCTAAACCCTTAAGGCCCTAAAGCCCTAGCCCTAAACCCCCAACCCTGAGCGCTTCAGGCTCTAAAGCCCTAAACCCTAAGCCCCCAACCCTAAACACTAACCACCCAACGAGACTCGCTGGCGCCATGATCGGCAGAGCTGAAGCGAGCATCGCAGGTACAAGGTCCAGAAGGTTTCCTTAGGCAAAGATCTGGGTGTTTCATGTAGACTCCAAGGGTTTAGGGTCAAGGGGGACTATAAGGGTTATATCCCAAAATTAGGGGTTGCTTTAAGGGGGACTATAAGGGATATGTCCCAAAATTAGGGGTTACTATGGGTTACTGTAAGGGGGACTATAAGGGATATGTCCCAAAATTAGGGGTTACTTTAAG